CAACCACGCCGCCCGCCCACAAATGGACGACCGTTCCTGACGCTCGTATTGATTCATTTGCTAAGCAAATTATGAAGCGAAGGGATTGGTATGAAGCGGCCGTGATGCTGCATGATATATGAGTACACATATGCAGCCGTATCTTCGGTAGCGGTTATTGGCAAGATGCCTACGGGAAACTCGTCCAAAATCGATTTTCAAAGGCACTTCCGCGACTGCACATCATAGGTATCGGGGTCCAAAAACAGGAGTACATTGTGCTAGTTGAGTTAGTAGTGAAGAAAAAAGTATACCGTCCTAAATACGAATACGATACATTGCAAAGCGCGGAGAGAGACCAGAAAATGACGGGCGAGAGAGCACAACGGCATTAGTACGACGACACGGGCAAGGTAGGCCGGCATGGGCCTCCTTGGGCCTAAAATCGAAGTTTCCTGTGCTTTGCGTGCCATTTTCCAAGTTTTGAATGCAGTGCAACCTCTACAATCGCCTACCGGATCATCTGACACATTTAAGAGGTTACAGCCTCAGTTTATAGCTGATAGTGCCTTTAGATCATCAAAGACGAAAGCTTTTTCTTCACAGGATTGTGACGTTTCACTCCTTTCTCTCCGTTCTTTCGCCTTTTCCCCACTATATAGCGCCCTGCTAGCATTTTAGGCCGAGTACAAAGTTATCGTGCCGACTGCCTTTACATTTCGATAATCGACGACTGCTGAGAACGAGATCGATTCTTCCCATTGCATCCGTCTTAGCTCTAGAGGACTGGAATAGAAGAAGCTGCCTGAGGCACTTGTCCTAGTTATTAATGGTGATTGCCGTGTGGAACTGGAGGTTTCGTTCAATAGAAGGGAATCCAAACGAAATATTGACCAGGGACCAATAATTTTTTCAAGCGTAATACTTCCTATTGATAGCTACCTATAGGATTTAGTTCCTCTTAACAGAGCGCGCCTAGCGAACTACTCAGTTTGTGGGGTCCTCCTCCTCATGCCGTCTTCTAATAGTGGTGAACTCCTCTCAAGATTGTCGGAATACATAGTTACATGTAAACCTTTGCTGCCTCACCCTAAATCTCAGCCGGCCCTATTAAAACTACTCACGAGGCCTTTCTCATTTTAAAATTTAATACTCTCGAGACAATCACTTCAGCACGAACAGGAATATCACATTTATTTGACATAAGACTTCTTCTCAGTGTCCTTAACATGGACACTAAATCAATGCTGCGAAGGCAGGAGAACTTCCGTTCCCTGTTCCAAGCATAACTACGTGATTAACCTTCTCACAATTAGGAGCCGGCTGAAGTAGATTTTCGACGCCGAAAATCGACTCGCATTTAGGAAAGAAGCGGCAATCGACGGAGGACACATGCCAATTCTATCCTATACAGGGGCGGGCCAAAACAAAAAAAAATAAGTCAATTTCGGCCGAGCCACATATCAACGAAGTTTTCGCAGCCCAGACAGGGGAAGTGGATATGAGTACCACTAGTGGAAAGATACCCAAGATCTTCCTCTATAAGCTGGAGCAGGCTGCCGCCAATCGCCTTCATGTACGCCAAAATATGAAGTCATCTCCAGTCGCGGCCTGACTGGAGAACACCTTTGGAATTCACGTGGCCTCCAAACAGCTGCGGAACTTCTTGAATGGAATCACCCATGGATAGCTACCTGGAGACCAGTACTCTTGATCTGCAAGACCTCAAACATCGAGCAGCTCCGGCAACGTCGCTACGGTCCAGGACATCATCTTCACCCCATTCACCAAGGCGCGCGGGTTGATGGTGTGGACCGGCCGTACCTGGAATGGATGAACCGATATTTTCTTCGTGGGCCCCAGACTGAGGGTGTGCGCTGGTGGCTACATCGAGCAACTCGTGAAGAATATCCTCCTCACATATCGTCGCCCGTACCTTCTTGGAAACTTTGTACTGCTACAGCATTGGGTGCCACCACATGGAATCGAAGGGACATTGGAGAAACTCTCGCCTACTTGGAAGGGAAGGGGGCTGAATACCCAAAGAAGGTGGAATATTCAAGTAGGTCACCTACCTGATTATCCCAACCTTGATTACCCGTCAATGCGGCGGAGCTTCATTTAGGGTGGCTTACCGTGCGCGATGAGAATCAACGATTCTCGCTCAAACTCCGTACCCACTCACTTTTCGCGCGGCCGAATCTCCATGCGCCTCCTCCCAGAAGGCTTGTTGGCGGAGTACATTTCATATGATGTAATTGTGCCGTCTGAGGATGGTGAGTTAAAAAGCCGCATTAAAAAGAATTTTGAAAGTAACTGAGAAGCGCCCTAGGAAAGTCATGGAGTGCCAAAATGACTGGTTGTGGCGCCCCCCCGTATAGCAAAGCGGAAGCAGAGGGGAGAGCACGTGTACGAGTGCTGGCCCGTAGCAGGCTGCGTCCTTAAGCCGTGGTCAATGTCCAGCGAAACTGTCGTTGACACTGTAGTAAGACCATCGTCAAATCTGATCATGGGAAGATAAAGGTGCTGTGAAATATTGCGGCAAGACAGGAATTAAAGGCGGACAAGCCCGGGATGCAGCGCGCATTTTTGTCCCATTTAGTACAGTAATGGCTTGGTGAAGGCGATTCCTTCCATATTTGAACCTTGGATCGTGGGTGGTACGCGTGCCTTTTGCCCCTATACCACCTCCGCCCCATATCACAAATGCATGAGTGGTTAACTCACTTCTCCTGCATTGGATGGAGAGTGGGTAGTCCACAAAATGGCAGCAAGCTGCCAGTACAGCCAGCAACCTTTCCAGAGCCCTTTTCGAAGATATGCTCAAGAGCGTTCCCTAGTTATCGTCCAGTCGTCCAAAAATGAATGAAATGTAACCCAATACTGCCTCTAATTGCACTTGACGCTGATTTCATGGGGCTGAAGAACACCAACCAACCTGAAGCGGAAATCGGTCAAACTCTTAAAGCACTTTCTCATGTTCTCAAAAATTGTTGCTTATAGGATCAGGTGTCGATGAAGTTGGATCGGGTGTTGAGGACAAAACTGCTGATGCTTCACCCCGCATAGAGGTACGTTTTTAGGTGCTAATTTTTGATTATTTCCCAACGTTGCAGTTGACTATGACCTCCTTGTCGGATTCCCCTTCGTGGGGTGTCCTGAGATGCTGAAACAGTTTTTCAAATTTTTTGTTTTGTTTGCGAATTCTGATTGTAGAAAAATCAATAATTTTTCTTATGAAGGTGCCGAGTGAGACGCAAACATAGTCCTCGCTGGTCTTGTGGGCAGGTCAGATCCACTGTTAAGTCTTCCTCACTGCACCCCTCCCTTCCAAGGCGGTGGGATGGGGGCCAGCACTTTC